TTGTAATGTTCAAGCCTTATATATAGTTTACTTACTAGTTACTACATGTCAAAATATAGAAGCTTTAATATCTTTTAATCCACACATAGAGTCGAATGGAAAAATTCGGTTTCTAAACTTATTCGGGGAGTGTAGACCAGTCTGACATTATAAAAGTTTATAGTAGCATTCAGAAATGGACCACGAAATCCACTTAGTTCATACTTTTGACTAATAGATGGTGCTACTGTAGATCTTCCCCAGACACGAAATATCAATTTCCATTTTCACTTGTAGCTGTCTGTAGCTAACAAGATGGGATGGCCTTACAAGTATTGGAATCTAAGATACACCAATGAGATTAGCACTAGGTGAAATATGGTAGATGATTGGCATCGTTGAAACACGCTCCCGTCTTTCTCACACTTTACTTCAAGAGATTTATGCATAAATAGTTTTATGAATAAATAAATAATAAGATATTTCTGATTAAAAAAGACGAATAAAAATTAGTGCATATTATCAAAATAAAAACAAGCGAAAATTGGCAAAAATGGGCCTGCTCACATTGTACGGAAAACTGACTAGGAAAGATAGTTCTGAAGTAAGGGAATCGTACAAAGGCATCCTTCACAGACCAAAAGATGCGAAGAAAATGGTTTCGCTTATCATTTTCTCATCCCTTTAAAGCATCATTCGCGTCTATAGAATTCCAGCTAGCGGGTTTTATCAGATAAGGGGGAAGGTTAATGTGTTTTCAAGTGGCCGAGAGAGATAAGTATTTTATTAGGCATTGGATGGCTGCCATTGTCTTTCAACTGCGCATCATCGTTAGGATTTTGTGATTACTAACTGCCAGTATATCGTCCACCCCACATCTATTACAAAGATACAGTCTATCTGACACCCATTCTAAGCTACAAAACAGTCAACTCTGCTTATCAAAATTCGATAGAGCGTTCGTAATAATATAATATATCCGACCTATCAGTAGTTGGGGAAACGTAGGGTTCAGCTCACTAACATCTAAGGTGCTGTACAGAGTTAAATGTGAAAATAACACAAGTTTACATGTAAAACTTTACTTCTTCAAACATTTTTCTTTAGAATGCAAATAATGGATGTGGACAGGTAACTTTTGAAATTTTCTTTTCAAAAAGGTTGAGTTAAGAGATTTAGTGGGCTGGGCCAATAATTGATTTTTATAATTCAATAAGAATTAATTTTCCAAGTGACACGTTATATACAAATTAAAGACTGATTTTCACAATAATACAGCTGTTGCGTATACATTCGTAATTGCGCTGTCCAATCCTGGACTACCACCATGACTTGCACGAATCTCGGTAGTCCAACCGGTCGGACATTGCAGTGGAAATTTGCCTGTATATTTGCTTAATATCAGAGAGCTAAGTTAAACCAACAGTCCCAGAGGAAACATTAAACATTGTGGATTCGAATTACATCGAACAGGTTCCTTGGCTCCAATTAATGCATCTTTCTCCCATGTTTACACTGACTTATAGCATTGTATGTTTTGCCATGGAGCTATGAAAACTAAAGACGCTACACAGACAAAGCGCATGGGACGCATTTTGCTTCTGGAACCGTGTTAGCATTTTTACTTTGTAAATAAGGTCGATTTCACCCATCATCCCCGAAACACAAAATTTCCTTCTTTTGATTCTGATTGGTTGAAGTATCATAAGTTTGGATGCTGGTTATATACTTATATTTCTTTTTCTTTTACAATGGTAATTCGCCATTTGTCTCAATAAAAATTACAGTTTTAAAAATTCCCATAGGAATTCGGAACAGCGTGCCCCAAACAATCTGTAAAACCGTTGGTGTACAATGCTTTGTTTATTTGACAGTGTCAAAGCTAGTTTTGACATGTTCATTATTTCAGAAATCTTTGTTCATGTGTTGGGTCACCGTTCAGCTGGAAATGTCGACAACCCATTTCAAGACAACAATTCAATTTAAGAAATATGGGTCATATAAATATCCAATGAATAAAAGAAAAATGTTAAACAGTTTTGGTCCAGTTGGATATGTCGGCAAACTATTTCAAGGCAACAATTCAACTTAAGAAATTTAAGTCAAATAAATATTCAATGAATAAAATAAAAAAAAAAGTAAAACAGTTAATTTGGTCGGCAAACCATTCCAAGACAATAATTTAACGAAAGAAATATAGGCCTCGTGATTATTCAAAGAATAAAATTAAAAAAAACGTAAAACAGTAAGTTCAGCTGGATATGAAGAAATGTAGATCACATAAGTAAAGTATTCAATGAATAAAATAAAAAATATCAACAGATTTTGGCCAGTCTATTCTCTATCGTGTGAAATGAGCAAATCTTGAATCACATATTATGGTTTAGTATAATGCCATATTATCTTAGCCTAACGGATGAGCATACGTCGTATTATCATTGGCTAATTGAGCCCGTTAGTTAACACTGTCAGAACTGACAAATAGCTGACAAAATGGCTACATCTCGAATATATTTCCTTTGCAAACTGGCATTCTTTCGTTTCAACGCTCGCTGTCACCCTGTAACATCGAGGGACTTGGAACCATTAATATTATGACTGGTCTTTGATTTTTGTTTGTTAAAATTCACAAGTATAGTTTGTGTTGTCTTGAATATTACTGTTACACAGATAAGACCAATTATAGTGAAAAACACAAACAGGACGCTTGTTTACGCAATCTTAATTGTGTTAATAAATATCCAACATCGTTTTTTATTTTTCTCCAAAACACACGTTAATACATTTCTGATCCAAGATGTATACGTACAGTGTGCTATTGATGATAACGATAGATCTTTAGAGCAAGCCAAGACGTACAGGACAGTGACAAATTGTTATATATTTTGTTCACTTGTGTAACAATGTCTTTATTACTGGTAGTTATCATGGTCATGACCTAAGTTTAATTGTAGTTTACTCTTAGGCTATAAACTTCAACCTTCACTTATTTTGTTTTGATTATGGTAAGACTTTATGTCAGTAGCTACTTCGTGTGTTAGGGGAGGCATGATGAATTATAAGTTATGGCACACGCCTCTCAAAATATCAAGAAAAGTGTGGTTTCTTTGGGAAATGTTGATATGGGTGACTAACATATCTACTGGCGAATGTATTCTTTCTACCAATCATTCTGTCTTCTTGCTTTGATTTTTAGCCTGAATGATAGAGTGACACTTGTTTGGTCATGCACATTCCGCGGTTTTTGGGTTGACGTAAATCAAATGAAAACTGGCATAGATTTCCCCTGAATTTGAGTTAGAATTTATACGTTTTGAGAACTAATCGCTTTCATATAAACATAATCAAAGTAATGTATTTCGCCTACGGTGCAACCAGGAAAGATTTAGGAATATTGGCATACTGTTTATACTCAGAAGTTATCTCTGGGCGATACAAGTTTTCTAGAAAGGAAAGATGTAAAATCTGCCAGATGCGGACTGGAGATACGGCTACAATTTATGTGACGTGTCTATTAATTCTCCCGCTCATTAAGATCCATAATACCACACAAAGCGCCTGGTACCGTTGGAAGATCAAACCAAAATTCCCTTATCTCAGATATACTGAGTAGGCGCTACTAAAATCAGGGTAAAAATGTATTTTCCGTTAAATTACGACATTATACGACAATAACAACGCCCTTTCCGACCTGTTGATGGCGAACGAGTGACTTTCTAACTGATTTACGCTGGTTTTTATTTCCACTCTAGCGATTGAAATCACTGACACGAATTCCCTCTTATCAATAAGCAATACTAAACATGGCCTACTGTTTTACCAAATATTTCTCTTACACATGAAGTCTTTTCTAAACAATTTACTTTTTCGTTCAGCCTTTAGACAAACTGTCTCTTGTTTCTGCCTTCTTGCAACAGCGTTCTAACTTTGAAAAAATAGCTTAAGGGTAAAACAACCTTTTACTGAATAAATTGTTGCTGAACATAAGCGATTGTAAAATTTACTAACTCCCTCAGATTAGATAAATATCCTCCATAATTAGCGTTGAGATGGAGAACTACTCACAAAATCAGTTTTCAAATATTGTTTCACCTGATCGTTTAGTTGTATTCAAGCACACTTACTTCCAACCATTACTCTTGTAAGAGGGAGTAAGGTGCACAAGTCGAAACGAGTAAAGTGCGGTTAAGCATGCGAACCACTTAATCAATGCTTTGAAGACTTTGAAGTGGGCCTACCCCAAAGGATTAGTTGCATCTTAATAGCTTACGAGATGTTCACCTTGTCTGTCAGCAACTGGTCCAGGTATTCTTTAGATGATAAAATTGAAATATTACTCATCAGAAAATTAAATAATCATATTTGAAATAAGATTTTCCCCAATTGACCATGTTTTAGGAGATGTTTGGAGGTTAAGCATGGAAAATCTGGTTTTGTCGGAATTGGTTACTTTGTGTTTTTTTTGTTTTCGAGCATGTTGCCCATTGTTCATTCATTGTTCTTTGAAGTAGGAATATGTTATGATTCTTACGAGCAAAATATATTTATTTTTTTAAGTTTGATCATTTTCCTATCGTTATGATATCACGAACAACATTAGCCACTTGAAGATGTCCCGGACGCTAAAAGCAATGAGGATAAATAGAAATGTGGTGTGGGCGATACCATTTCCAGTAAAAGGTGGGATCCAAGGATTCAGTTATAGGACCGTGAATTTCGATATTTTCAATCATTTTTACTTTTTGGAAGTTCAGTCGAAAGGGAGATATAAACTTTCAAGGGGAATGAGCGTTCTCATCAGTATTGTTTACATTTAACGTAATGGGTTGTTAATAATTTTGAATGTAGAGAAAGTGGAAGTTAAGACCGGATCAGAAGCTATCGGCCGGTAGCAGGCTGGCATGTGAGCCTGATAGGCCTGCCAGTCGCAGATAACGCTGCCACCCCTCCGTTTCCGCAGGCCTCGGATCCAGTTACACTGTGTGTATATCAAATACAGCCTGCGTTAATTGAACATATATGTCATTGTTAATTGGTCATTAGTCCTGCAATCGTAACGCAGGTCTGTAAATTCTGTACAATACTGGAAGAAAGCTTTTATAACAGTAAGGCATCAGGAACGCTACGTCAGTCTAATGGAGGATATCGCGCTAACTTGTTCCAGCGGCCAAGTTCAAACTCCATTCTCAGTCAAAGACATTCTCGGTCTCAACCTTCAGGATCAGAGTAACTGCTCCACCCTGGATTACAGCGGAATCAATTATGCCCCTAGCCTCGGCTACGGCGGCTACACAAATATGGACACGGTTGGGTACGGCTCGGTAGACACGGGCTATACCAACTCCAACCAATGTGACTATAGTTCTTCAATGATGTCTCAGTACACAACAGCCACACCGTCTTACACAACTCTTGGATCCAGCTCACCAGCGACCATTCAGCCCGACCATGCAGTCCAGCAGCAAAATACGGCCCCACCTGTCTACGCTAGCCCGCTCGTACTGAACACCGACACTGGCCCCGGAGGCAACGTATCCCCACCACTCTCGACAGAGGTGTCCACACCGGGCTCGATCTGCTCCGATGACGGGGGGCAAGAATGCAATACGGAAAGTAAGTTGCCTCAAGTATCTCAAGAGGATTAAGAGAAACACTTGACGTTATTTTGATGCGCTCAAATCACAATCACTGTGCAAAAAGCCAAATATAGTAGCGTATAAGTGGCAAACTATTTGTGAATATAGTTCAGTATGTCCTCACTATATCGTATTCGGTATGGGAAACAAACTATTCTTGCCTCAGAAGCGGAACATTTAGTATTGGTGGTATATACTCTACGATACTAAATATCGTTTGAACTATTCTCCGATTATTCTTAAGAGCCAGGAATAGTAGTATATAAGTACATGGAAAACATGAGTATAGTATGTATTACGTAATCCAAAAACAAACTATACGCCTCTTATACGCGAGGCTATATATTCTTTGATGTGCCCTAATTTGCTTGGAGTTAATCCTATTTTATATTTCAATTAAGCGCTAATGTAAACAAATAAAATCATGCATTTCGCTTAAGAAAGCTTAATCAAACTTAATGTCTGAGATCTCATTAAAAATTTTATGATGTTGAAGTATATGATTTTAAATGAACTTTAAATGAATTTTAAAAATGTAAGTCAATACAAAAAGTGGAATGAAAAATTTGGGTATATTTCAAATATAAATCGGTAAATCATTTATTCTCCGTTTTGAGTAAAATATGCGCATATTAATTTGAAGTTTGTTTTTAGTCCAAAAATTCAGCAGCAATTTCGGTGTAGTTAAAATTACAATTAGATAAAGCGTACTGTGATATCTTTGTTCTTTGTCAGTTTTAAATTGAGACAATTCTGACTTTCCTATGACAAATTAGACCCCTAGTCTAGTCGGAGGTTTAGAGTGAAGCCATCTGGAGGAAAATTAATTGTTGTATAATTATGTGGCAGAAGTTGATGATGGTGATGCATTTTTAAATTTTAAAAAGAAAGCAATATTCAAATGTATGAAATACAATAAGGAATCGGTATAAAATCCCCGGGATTAAATATTATGAAGGATGAGGGATTGCGCTGAATGAAAACGTATTTTTGTATGCAAATCATTAGGTTACATGTACAATGTATAACATATATAATAGTACGGATCAACCTTATCAACAAGTGTCACAAAACGATACAGAACAAAACACAAAGTTTAAGTATAAAATATGCATATATTTCAATATATTTGTCAATTACATAGCATTCAGTAATTACAGAGTACATTATATTTTACAATTTCATGAATAAAATGGTTAAAAAGGTTAAACTTGGGTTGGCTCATGAGTCTCAATTTGAGACATAGTATGTGATGTGCTGTAGGTTCATCAGTATATTAAAAGGTTCAATTTGGCGCATTAGTATAGTTTAATTTGGCGCGTTATTTATGATGTTCATAATGCCCCAAATTAAACTATGCTAACACGCCAAATTGAACTTTTTAATATACTATTGAACTGAGAGCACATCACATACCAAGTCCCAAATTGAAACATACTCATGAGCCAAGTTTAACCTTTCAATGTAAGGATGAACTTTGAACATCATAAAAAACGCGCAAAATTGATAAATACTAACGCGCCAAATTGAACTTTTTAAAATACTGATGTACTTGGAGCACATCACATACTATGTTCAAAATTGAAACATACTCTCATGAGCCAAGTTCAACCTTCCATTGTAAGGATGTACTTTGAACATCATAAATAATGCACCAAATTGAACTACACTAATGCACCGAATTGAGCTTTTTAATATATTGATGAAGTAAGAGCACATCACATACGATGTCCAAAATCGAAACATACTCATGAGCCAAGTTTAACCTTTCAATGTAAGGATGTACTTTGAACATCATAAATAATGCGCCAAATCGAATGATACTAATGCGCCAAATTGAACTTTTTAATATACTGATGTACTTGAAGCACATCACATACTATGTCCCGAATTGAAACATACTCATGAGCCAAGTTTAACCTTTCAATGTAAGGATGTACTTTGAACATCATAAATAATGCGCCAAATTGAACTATACTAATGCGCCAAATTGAACTTTTTAATATACTGATGAACTTACAGCACATCACATACTATGTCCCAAATTGAAACATACTCATGAGTCAAGTTTAACCTTTCAATGTAAGGATGTACTTTGAACATCATAAATAACACGCCAAATTGAACTATGATAATGCACCAAATTGAACTTTTTAAAATACTGATGAACTTGGAGCACATCACATACTATGTCCCATTGAAACATACTCATGAGCCAAGTTTAACCTTTTAAAGTAAGGATGTACTTTGAACATCATGAATAACGCGCCAAATTGAAATATGGTTATGCGCCAAATTGAACTTTTTAATATACTGATGAACTTGGAGCACATCACATACTATATCCCATTGAAACATACTCATGAGCCAAGTTTAACCTTTCAATGTAAGGATGTACTTTGAACATTATGAATAATGCATCAAATTGAACTATGATAATGCGCCAAATTGAACTTTTTAATATACTGACGAATAGCATATAACATACTATGTCCCAAATTGAAACATACTCATGAGTCAAGTTTAATCTTTCAATATTATGATGTATTTTGAACATCATAAATAACGCGCCAAATTGAACTATACCAATGCGCCAAATTGAACTTTTCAATACTGATGAACTTAGAGCATGTCACAGACTATATCCAAATTGTAACATACTCATAAGCCAAGTTTAACCTTTCAATACAAGGATGAACTTTGAACATAATAAATAGTGCGCCAAATTGATATATACTAAAGCGCCAAATTGAACTTTTTAAAATACTGATGTACTTGGAGCACATGACATACTATGCCCACAATTGAAACATACTCATGAGCCAAGTTTAATCTTTCACTCTAAGGATGTACTTTGAACATAATAAATATTGCGCCAAATTGATCTATACTAACGCGCCAAATTGAACTTTTTGAAATACTGATGTACTTGGAGCACATGACATACTATGCCCCAAATTGAAACATACTCATGAGCCAAGTTTAATCTTTCACTGTAAGGATGTACTTTGAACATCATAAATAATGCGCCAAATTGAACAATACTAATGCGCCAAATTGAACTTTTTAATATACTGATGTACCTGGAGCACATCACATACTATGTCTCAAATTGAAACATACTCATGAGCCTAGTTTAACCTTTCACTGTTTCTTTCAACATTTGGGTAATAACTGTGGAGAAAAGTCATTCATTAAAAATCAGAAAAACTTTTCAATGAGTTAATTGATTAATTCCAAATTTTAACACAATATTAATCATAGCAAGAGGGACACTAAAGAATCCAATAAATTAGAAAAACTTAATTTGCAAATTATTTTTCTGTGGAAATCAGAACCATCGGCTGTAGATATTAATCCTTTAACTCATAACAAATGGATTAGTTATCAGTGAACAAAACTCATGTCATAGAAATTAAATACTTGGGGATTAAAGTTGTATTTATATTGCTCTGACATGTCAATACATGTATGAGATGGTGAAAAACTGCATGATTTTGAAAGAATTGTTGGTCAAGGGGAGGGGGTCGCTAGGTACGGGCCTGTATAAAATGCGTAATGTATTTAGCTCAATAATGAGCATTTCTGTGTCAAGACTGTTATTTGTGGCTGACAAAGTGAATACAGGTGGTTGTGCCTGTGTAATATAAGGGGGATTTAAATGTCGTTTATTGTAACCTTGATGTGACAGAGAAACAATAGAGTAAACATGTGAGGAAAACTTATTAATTAAGAATTAAAAAAATATTTTTCCAATGAATTGATCGATTGAATCCAAATTTTAACACAATGTTAATCATAACATTGGGGATAATAAACAATCAAATAAATATAAAAAACTTAATTTGCAAATTATTGTATGTGGAACTTAGAATCGTTGGCTGTAGGAAATTAATCCATTGACTCTAACAAACAGATTAGCTATCAGTGTTAACGAAACTCATTTTATAGAAATTAAATAATTAGGGATTAAAGTCTTACTTATCATATTGCTCTGACATAGCTGTATGTCCATACTGTATGTTATTTGCATCAGTTTGTTCTTCCATGCACCAATTTGCTCAAAACATAATCATCAATTTGTCAGATGAAACATTTGCAATAAATGTAAAATGCGCCCGTTTCTTCATTTGCATTATTACATTATCAACTAAACATACCAAATCTTGCACCATTTGTATATGTCTATATTGAAACGGAAAACAAAGAATGATTAATAAAACCAGCTGTTATAAACAGAAATGGTCCAATTCTAATAGAAACAATTGTATTGCACGGGCTAATCTCTGTTGTTTATCACAGGTGTTTATCTCAGTTATCATATGGATAACAGAAAACACATGAATTGTGAAATGTGAAAGAATACAAGTTTTAACTTTGTTTTAATATGGCTTAATACTACTTGTATCATTTACATAATGCATGTTATTTCCTAATTTATTATAAGTGATTTGTCAGATGAAATCTGAGCAATATTTCTGGTATATTACAGGCACGTAATAAGTTTGAGCTCAGGGGGACACTTTTTAAAACGTACCAAGGGGGTCAAAATTGATAATGTTGGCCAAAAATCACTTGACAGTGCTCAGATTGGTGAAAACTGTATGATTTTAAAAGAATCTTGGCAAGGGGGTGAGGGATTCACATGAACCCAACGACCCTCCCCCATGGCCACAGACCTGTATCAAATGCGTAATGTATTGAGCTGAATATTTTTGCAATATTGTGTTATAAACGTTTTGTGTGGTTTGCGATGTGAATAGTGGTGTTTGTTTGTGTCTGTGTAAGAGACTAGGGTTTTAAATGTTGTTTGTTGTATTAAGCTTAATGTTAGAGAGAAACAATGGAGTTAAATGTTAGAGAGAAACAATGGAGTTAAATTGTGAGGAAACCCCATAATTAAAAATCAAGAAATTTCTTCCCAATGAGTTAATCGATTGAATCCAAATTTTAACACAATGTTAATCATAGCACGGG